AACCACCTTAATTCTAGCTACCATGATCAAACATTCCTTGGAAAGAAAGTAAAACCGATGAATTTCTAACCCGAAAAAATCATAAGTTGAAGATGATTTGATATGGAAATGAAAAAAAAAATTGTTCTGTAATGTGTAGACCGCGGTGGTTATGTGGGCAATGCATCCATGGGAGAGAGACGCGAGGTTGGTTAAGAAAGCATTGAAGAAAGGAGATGAATCTTACAATCTCATCGTTGAGGTTTCATGCACTCGCTCCTCTGAAGATCTCTTAGGTGCACGCAAAGCTTACCACTCTCTCTTTGACCAATCAATGGAAGAAGACATTGCATCTCATGTCCATGGTCCTCATCGCAAGGTTATTATTCTATACTTACCCTACAGTACTATCCCACACGTGACCTCTTCACCTCTCTAGCTCACTTATGTTGTGTCTCATGTTTTTGTAGTTGCTTGTGGGGCTTGTGAGTGCTTATAGATACGAAGGTACTAAGGTGAAGGAAGATTCCGCAAAATCGGAGGCTAAGATTTTGGCTGATGTGGTGGCTTCTTCCGGTGAGGAAGTTGTAGAGAAGGATGAGGTTGTCAGGATTCTGAGCACAAGAAGCAAACTTCATCTCCAACATGTTTACAAACATTTTAACCAAATCAAAGGATCTGATCTTCTTGAGGTAACTTATAACAAAATCATTTCATATGTTTATATATCTCCATGTTTTGATTCATGTGTATATCAAGAAAATCTTGTGGTTTGATCATCAGGGTGTATCTCAGTCTTCGCTCCTCAATGAGGCATTGCTTTGTTTACTCAGACCTTCTGTGTATTTCAGCAAGGTACAAAAGCCGATTCTGGTTGCGATTGTTTCAGACACCAACTTTTATATCTAAATTTTGTTGTCATTTTGGTTAATGTTTTGTTGTCATTTTGGTTGTAGATTTTGGATGCTTCTTTGAGCGAAAACGCAGACAAGGCTACGAAGAAATGGTTGACAAGAGTGTTGGTTACAAGAGCGGATCATAGCGATGAGATGAAGGGGATCGCGGAAGTGTTTCATCAGCTCTATGGTCAGACTTTGGCACAAAGAATTCAAGAGAAGATTAAAGGGAACTACAGAGATTTCTTGCTCACACTTCTATCCAAATCGGAATGATTTCTTCGTGCTGAGAAAGTATTCACAAGAGACTTTTGGTTATTGATGATTTGATTTCCTTTCTGGTTTTATGTTTTCTAATTTCAAGATTTATCGTTTTGGTTTATCTGGTAATAAAAAGAACTCTTTCGTTGCTTATGATTCAAGAAGAGAAGAGAATGCCATATTTAAAAAAAAAAAAATACGAGGTTGATATTTCACAAAAATGTTCTACATTTTAAATA